GCGGTGTCGCTATGAAACAAAATTATCGTATATCAAATGGGGCAGTATATTGTCCGACCCTGAAGCCGCCTTGTACAAAACAAAGTACATGCATATTAAGAAGTAACCTTAACGAGACCTCGTCTGCATAAATGCATCACGTGTGGCTATCAGCGCATTCCCCGCTGCAACCCTTCAAGAACTGGATGCTCCACAGCAATAAATAACGGCCAACTGTCTCCGGCGACCTTATCAGCCACTCCAACAAAGAAATCATGCTTTATTCTTACATTACCATACTTTTATGGGGTCATGTGTCTTCAAATTAGTGATTTTATTTACTGCGGACTTTTAAATGTGTCTGCCGTTTTGAATTCTGAAGTGAAATATAGTTAATAATGTAACTTTATTGTATCTGCGTCACTAGGGGACAGAGGGGCCAGGATAACGAAACAAATAACATGGAGAGCTAACAATTTCATAAAAACTACCCGATGTTGACTGGCCACTGACGCCCTTGGTATATACCATTGACATGGCCCACAGTCAGTACGCCTCTCGTAATGTATATCTCGGTAAGTATTGTTGAACACCGAGTGACACAACTTGAGGTCGGGGGTTGATCCCAGAAGTCGCCAGAGCGTGGGCGAAGTAATGACCCACATGACACCGAAGCTATTTCCTCAACACACAACATAACATGCACTACTCTTATTACAAAAGTTAAAACATCAAACTAGACCGAACCTCGTCAACTTGTTACATTTTTACGTGAAAATTTAAAGTTTAATCTGGATTTAAGAGACGTCCGTAGACACGAGGCTACAATTAAACTAAAAACGACCGGTAAAAAGCTGCGGCGAGCACCGACAACGTTATAGTAACGATTGTAGGCAATTGTCGGGGGTTGCCCTTCAACCCCTACAAAGGAATACGCGACGCAAGTTATAAACAGACGGCGAGTTTTCCTGGAATAACATTCATACAATTGTAACGGAGTTTTGTTGAACTATACACTTACTGATTCAAATCACTGGTACGATATGATATACAATTAAGTAAACTCGAAATAAACAGTAAAAGAGTTTTGAATTCCATTAACGATAAAAACGCGTTTAATTATATAACGTAATTAATACTCTACACGCCAAACGACAAAACCTTAAATCCGTTGAAATAATAAATCTTACATTGTATTGAAACTAAGTTTCAAACTAAGAAACTAATTCATGAACATAAGGAATATCACAAATAAAAAATCCCTTCTAAATCGTTGGTAGCCCTAAGGGGCTATTCCAACTTCGCGCGGACTGGTAGGTGAGCTCACGGGCTCAACCTGAGAGAATTTGCTAACACTAGTCCCCTAGCAAGAGCAGTGATTCGCTGAATCTACTACCAGATCGGAATCGTGACTCACTGGGAAGATCCGGCGAGAAACTCAGTGGGTTGTGTCTATAAATCTTCTATGACTTGCACAGAGCGGGCGCCCTATGTCCCTGCTACAGCCGCGCAGTGGACCGCGGCTAGTGGCGGTCAGCGCGCCACCGAATTAAGACGATAATTACACGCGGCGCGGGGCGCGACCAGAGGATGTCCGCTCCGATCCTACAGTTTTATACGTTTTGTTCACAAATTAGATGAACCCTCATGACGGGGAACAGAGTTTCGTATTTATTTATCTTTTACCTGATGAGGCGGTCAGAACTCTTGGCTCGGAGAGACGTATCAGTAGGGTCCCCGTGGAGCCCCGCGCGACTTCCAGTGCGAGGGTAAGTCGAGTGAAGCCGACCTCGGCGGTCGCGCCCGTCTGATAACACCGAACTACGATCGCGGTAAATCTCCAAAGATTTATTTTATAATTTAATGATATTATAAATTTGATAAAAGCCATCAAGTGCGCTTTACAATAATGACGTCATAACATTTACGACATCTCGTTGAAGGGGATTAAACAAAAAAATTAATGAAACGAACATTTACAGCATTCGTTCATTCAAGGCCACTTCGAATGTTATTTACTCTATTATCAACTTACTTAGGTATGTCAAGGCATGCTTCTTGTTCACGTGGTTTTGTCGTTTAAGTACTCGGCTATAAAGCATACAATTGAGTGTACTCAGGGTTGTTTTTGCAGCTAATTTCTGTAATTATCCATAGAGTACACATTGAAATCAAAGATCAACTAACATAATAATACAGTCTTGACGTAAATTGTCAAAAAACCGTCAAATTGTCGTTCGTTTTCTATTTTTAAACTATATTTGTCATTTAGTTGTTTGGTTTTGGTCTCAATGCAAATGTAAAATAATAAAATACATACAACATAGCATTTATGTAATACATGTAAACTCTAAACGATTTATCTTAAAAGAGGTTAATATGTTATAAAGATGACATAAATGGAATTTTGAATATTGAAACATCAGAAGAAGGAACATTAGAAATATAAAAAACATGCAAAAGTGGTGAAGCAATAGCTTTAAATGTTATTTCCCTTTATAGAGTAACTCAATTTGTGCTATAGTTTAACTGGGCTAAACTGTATTTTGATGTAAATAAAATAATACATTATATACATATTTTATGTTACTAATGTGTCTATAATCCCATTAGCCATGAACAAACGTGCTCACTGCTGGCAGTTGCCACCTTGAACCACGAGGTCTGGGTTGTGCTGTAATAGACCGCAAAGGCTGGTAATGGTTGAGACCTTCAACGTATTCCAAGGTGTTGATTGGAGCGTCCCACATTAGAGCGTGGGCTTCACACTGGTCGCGACTCGCGCCGTTCTGCTTGACATGTCATTGTCGGGGACCTTGGCATCCGCGGCGTCCGTCTTGGAGCGATACGCATCTCCGCGGTCGACTGCACTCTACCCGACACTGAACAATTGATACTTGCCGAAGGCCGATACATCGACCCTCACAGACCAATCTCAACTTTAAAACCATTCAGATAAAGAACGATTTTCTATAATTACTATGACGTTCCTTAATCACCGGAGGTATTACCTATAATTTTCTTTCGACGATGTCTGTTTGTGGACGACTCGTATTTTTAATGTGTTATACATTGAAGAATGTTTCCACTCTCGGGACGACTGCCTTACGGATAATAGTGCTGGTCTTAGTAGTTGTCAGTTTTAGCTTCGGACTTCGATTTAAGACGACCCCACCCGCTGCTGCTAAACAATATCTTTAAAACTTTACTCGCCTTACAAATAAAGCACACAATATAAAATTTGTTATCAACTAAATATAACATCAGCACAGTAGTAAATATTTGTATCATTTTTCTTATCAGATATAAGAACCTACAATGGATCAATCTCTTCACTAGAAACTTCATTAGATTGCCGCAGTACAATATATTATTATATGAGTTTATAGTGTAATTAAATATATTATGCGTATCAAACAAAAACGCGAAGATTTGTTTGACGAATTGAATCATTTTGTTGTGAATGTAAATTAAGTTTTATTACTTTAAAAATGGCCGACCATGTTTTTTTTTTTTTTTTTATGATTGAAAGTTTACTGGTGGCCCGAAGGCCTTTCCAGTTTCACCAGGACAGGTGGGCGAGCAAAGGCTCAGCCAAGAGGGGTGGGATTTGCTAACAACTGCCCGAGCGCCTCCGAAGGAGACCTAACAACTCAAGAGCAATTGTTTCGCGAATGAATCTACTACCGGATCGGAATCGCGACCCGCTGAGAAGATCCGGCGAGAAACTCAGCGGGCTGATGCATGGGTTAGGTTGCACGTCGACCTCTTTGTCGAGTTCGACGAGTACGGTTACCGGGGTCCCTAAGCCTGCCCCTAGTATTAGAGCTGAAGGCATCTAATGCAAAGGTTATTGGATCTGATGGATCCGTAAGGACGTGTCTAGGGCGTCGACGGTGACTGGCTCCTGCATGATCAGGATTCGGGGAGTAGTCAGCGGCGGCAACGATAAGGCGATTATCATGACGCATAGCCTTATCGAAGTATCGTTCCGACGCTGACTTCATGTATTTCCGAATTGATTCGAGGCCCAGGTCGTCGTGTAGGTCAACGTTCCTCACGAACCACGGAGCCCCGACAGCTAACCTGCAAAAGCGGGATTGTAGGGATTGGAGGGTGTCTATGTGTGTGCGGGCCGCGTGAGCGAACACCACACTCGCGTAAGTCATGACGGGCCTTATGCAAGTTTTGTAAAGTGTCACCTTGTTCCGAAGGGACATTTTACTCCGCTTATAGATCATGGGGTAGAGTCTACCGAGAATAAACGCGGCACGGTCACGGACTGATTTTATATGCGGGCGGAATGTCATCGATGCATCCAGGGTAACGCCCAGGTACTTGACCTTCCTGGCCCAGGGTATGGGTTGTCTAAAGAGAGTAATCGGGGAGCCGACCATGTAACAGATGACACACACACACAGTCAGTAGTTGTCGTGTGTCGGTTGCTGAGTCGTTGTTTGGTCGTATACCGAATGCAGTTAGTGTCAGCACACACGAAGCTTTTCCTCGGTTTGTTTTATTCATTCTTCTAAATTAACTTACATTAGAATACAACTTAAACACGACCAGGCAGTGCCGCTGGTATTCTGGGATACCCCGCTAGAACCAGCGCGCCAGGTCGAAACGTGATACACCGCCGACCGGATTGCTCTTCCAGAGTACGTCCGGCGACGACGAAAACGCAGACCGCAGCGCCGACGCGTTGTCCCGTTCTCCTGGTGCCAGACCGCTGGAGTGACGGTAGCGTGCGGCGCAGCCTTGACCCCATTAAGTTGTCAGTGACCATCACGAGGAGGGAACCGCCTTCTTATATTGGTAAGAGCTGGACGAACACCCTGCTCCAACCCCGGCTCGGCGGCAGTTGTACGACGCCAAGAGGCAAGAAAAGTTCTCCCTCTCTCGTTCCGCCACTTCCTTTTGCAAGATAATGGATTCGTCCGGTCCCATCTTTGCAACGAGGACACATCTGCATCGACCGTTTTATTTGTTCAACCAAGTAACTTGACTCGTTCTCTCCACAGATCGCTCAATTAGTAGAAGACGTAAGAAGACTGCAGGCATCTCTGTCAGCATTGCAAGAAGCTCACGCACAACAGCTCCAGAGGCTGGAGGAGCGTCTAGATGAGAAGAAGCAACACATAGCGAGGCTGGAGGCGCGGCTGGACAACCAGAGGGACTATGACGATATCAAACGGGAGATCAGGTCAGCCACGGGTCTGCACGGTGCACTTTGTATACATGCTATTATCTTATATGCGTCAAATTGCAGATATGTAGTTGTGTAGATTACCTTAGACGTTACCATCTTAAAACCTTCACCGCCATATTCAAACATACAATTACCGCATTATAAGATCAGTGTCAGTACATTAATTTGGTTTAGTTTGGTTGTGTCAGTTTTACCAAAAGCAAAGCACCCTGATACGAAAGAAGTTCTTGAAATCGAATGTAGTATTGTTTATTGAAACTTTGTCACATTATATTCCCCTCGTGCTGACCAACGAGTACGTGTGAGCTCAAAACGTATCTGCGGAGAACATGCACATGTCACACCCGCGCACGCTCGCTCCGACTTTGCAGTAGGTACACGTGTAATGTGTTGAAATCAATCAAAATGCGTGTTAGTAGTGTTAGTATCGGTTGGATGTGAGGCGCTCGCACGACCGCCAGCGCCGGCTAATAAAAACCCGATCGAGTGCACATCAAAGCGTCACCACCGACAATGACAACAAGTTCATTAGGCGCTGTTTGTACAGCCTGCCCTCGCGATCGTAAACCGTTAATCGTTGTTGTTGCGCGCCGGTCGCTTCCTTGCTCCATTTGACTCGTTGTTTAAAAAACAACTTTTGACAACTTGAGCGTTTTTTCTTGTCTCCGAGAGCAAAGAGTTCGGTTTCTCTCGAAGTCAATAAAGTTAAGTGAGTCTTTGTTCGTGAATACATACTGTAGTTGTTTTTGTTAGAAATAACCAAAGGTTTGGCCATAGACACGAGTTATGATATTTAAAAGTAAATGAGTCATTTAACTTCATTTGATTTCAACTTCAGATCTTTAAGTTAAACAAAACGCCTCGTCTGTGATGAAACAAATGAATATATATTTAAATAAAATCTGTACATATATAAAATAATTTACGACATTGTGTGTGCGTTGGATGCACGGCGCCACGCTATCAGTCAAAGGTATGCTGTGCAAACAAGATGCAGGTGTAACTTAACTCTCAAGTTATTTCTGTGTTTGACTTACAATGTTTCCTTTCTAAGCTGTGTCTTAATTAGATTGTTCATTTGACTTTTGTGATCTTGTAATGCGCCGGTGGTGAGTACTTACTCTCTGTATATGGACACCGACAATACCATGCCAAACCTCGAACGAAGCCATGTCATCGTAGTGCAATAACGTTAATGGATGAAACTTTTTCGTTTATAAAATCTGATTTTTTTTAATAAATAAATAGGCAGCGGCTTGACTCTGCCCCTGGCATTGCTGAAGCCCATGGGTGACAGTAACCACTCACCATCAGGTGGGCCGTATGCTCGTCTGTCTACAGGGGCAAAAAAAGCTGAAGGTGAGGGGTAGATGACGGGCGGCGGACGCGCAGTGCTCGCACGACCAAGTTAATACAAATCAGTTTAACACCCGTTTTACATAAACTTTACATTAATTAAACAATAAAACTGACTTAGAACTCGTGTCTCGAGGTGGGAGGCGGTATCTATGTTGTTGTTGTCTATCGGCTTTGGTAACCACTTGACACCAGATGGGCCGTGAACTCGTTCACCTATTTAAGCAATAAAAAAATTGGGATTAAAAAATTCTAAAGAATAAAAATCATATTCCATTAATAAAAAATAAAATCAAGTAGATACGCTTCGAAAGTACACAGTATAAATTATACATAGTATAAATAGATCAGTAAGTACAGTCTGTTATCAGTCTCGTAGTTCCTCGGCCAGCTCAAGGCTCATGCATCACAGTTTCCCAACACTGCAAACACATCTAATCTCTGTACAAAGGTGAACGAACTGGTATTGCTTTATCAAGTTTATTAACACGTGCTCTTGCCGAGTAGCTCACTCTGTGTTGAGTACAGCTCCTGCTGACAATTAGGACTATACAACTAAAATTAGCCGCCGCTAATTAGGTGCTGAAACAAGAAAACTGTTTTCAAATCAATACGGACATTTCACATGTTTATTTAGCCTTATCTTCATCTACAACATAATGCGGGTGCGTTTTTACCAAAAAAATCCAATACTCAATTCCTCTGTAACTGTGTGTGGACTGTGGGGGGAGGTCCCTGATGCTGTAGTCTAGTATGGCACGTCCTTGAAACAAGGCAAGGCAGCCTTAGTGGCTCGGCTCCATCCCTGGCACAGCCAATAGACGATCAAGAACTGACGCGCACTGTCGCGCTTAATATAGCAATACATACATCCGGTGCTGCCCTAGGTGAGCTTTATGCAGGTCTTTGGATTGTCGTAACCTACGTGGTCCATGGTCTACAACGCGGACGAACAAATTATCTGAGAGTCTCGTAAAGGATCCATCGATCTCGTACAAGGCTAACAATCGTTCATAGTCGGTCATTAACTCTTTAAGTACATAATAAGCTTTTAAAAAATACGCTCCAGACGTACTACTACACACATACACCTGTATATATGTAAATTGAAAAATTACAGCACACCCATGTTTTGTGCAAAACGTCGCTTATTAGAATTATTTTGTCGGAGATATACCTAACATGTCTTTATAATGCAACGGAAAAAACAATTAAACAAGAAATTCAAGATAAAGTTCCGCAAATTGACTGAGTGCGATTATAGAGAAATGTCCACAGATTAGTTTGCACTGCATTCGCAATGTACTTTTAATGTTTTGTAATCTACATTACTCAAAACAGACTAAATAAATATATCACAATATAGCACATAGTTTGCATTGTCTGTGGTATTTGCGTAGCGAATGTAAATAGTGACGTGGTGGAACGAGTGAATGAATCATTGATGATTCATGACTAATCCATAGAATTTGAGCTAAACAGTGGATGGTCTGCCCTCCTTGCGCCGCCGAGCCCACGGGTGACTTATAATCATCAGAGCAAACTGGGCTGTGAGTTTTTTCCCACTCGATATCAAATAAGAATTAAAAGTAATACAATTAGTTCACATTAAATTAATATAATTGGTAATACGGTAAGTTCAGTTGAACATCAGATGAAAGCACATAGCGCCGTGTAAACATATATAGTAACATGACAAATGAATCGACATTAAGCCGTACAGGTATATAACTAAGAGACAAAATTTCAAAACCTATAAAATTTATAATTAATTAAAAATCATCAAAATAACATTTTAGTATCGGTAATTACTTAATCAACTATTCTAACATTTTCGCGATTTCCCAACAATTTCCTTTTTTTAGTTAGCTTTCGCATTGGTAAAAAAGACTGACCTGGGATCAATAGTTATAAATATTTTGACAATATCCTGAAAAGCACCCCACGCTTTGTTTACAGTAAAATCATATTTTCTTACACTATTTTTAATTCAAATTTATTTTCTATTTTTTAATTGGATTTTCTATAAAAGCGTATTTTTTTAGTTTTTTAAAGCATTGGTAAAAAAGACTGACCTGGGATCAATAGTTATACATATTTTGACAATATCCTGAAAAGCACCCCACGCTTTTTTTACAGTAAAATCATTTTTTCTTACACTATTTTTAATTCAAATTTATTTTCTATTTTTGAATTGGATTTTCTATAAAAGCGTATTTTTTTGTTTTTTAAACTATTATTTATTTTTCATTTTTTAGTTGAAATGCAATTTTTTCTAGTTTTTTCAATTATTCAAAAATTTCATTTGAATCAGACGGTAACTTATCCGAGAAATAGGTGATCGGCGCGCCTGGTAGTTTCCCTTCTTGGTCTTGACGCAGATATTCCGGGTCTCAGGAAAACAAAAAATCGCTAATCCTGATTATCCTAGTAAGGATAACGGATCAAACTGCTTAAAAGATGACAATTCAATCATCGGTCCTTAATAAGTATTCCAAATTTCAAGTTAATCTGACGTTTTGAAGGGGGTCAAAATCATGTTCAAAGATTCCGTTACAAACATACATGCATACGTCTGAAGCTAATGAAGCGTATTTAATTATTGCGATTTTTACCAAACTGCTATCGAACATAATGAGTACCGCCACCGCTGGATGCAAATAAGAAGATAAAAGTCGCGTCTACTTCTTTCGCCAATGAGTTTCTGGTGTTTTTTATTTTTATTTTATTGCTTAGATGGGTGGACGAGCTCACAGCCCACCTGGTGCTAAGTGGTTACTGGAGCCCATAGACATCCACAACGTAAATGCGCCACCCACCTTGACTTTGTGTTATCATGACTCCTCTCCACGAGTGCACGCAGCAGCTCACCAGCCTCCACATATCATATTTGATCGTGCACTTATGGCGGTCGTGTGTTGTAATTGTTTTAAAACTTTGAAAATTTTTCTTGAATTCATGCTAAAAAATCAAATTGTTTCGTCGTTAACTTCTCTGAAACTTTGTGTAGGTACTTCAATGCTGCAGTCAGATGTGTAATTTTCGCAATTTTTTAAAACGACGACGGAATATGTTTTTATTACATCGCTCGGTTCAAGTTATCATTAATTTTATCAGCATTTTGCTAAATGTAAAACAAGTCATCACGAAGCCGCAGGAAGCCTAAGACTCCTTGATGGATTAATTTTGTGAGCGGTGAGCGCTTCAAGTCATGTACTCCAGAGGAGGTCCCCAGACGTATTCTTTACCTGGAACATTTCCACCATAATCGGTGGCCACTTGTGACACAATCTCTCACAGTCGTGTAGCATGTACACGCTAAACGGTTCGAGATATGGAATTTAGCATCCATCCTACCCCCGTCCACAAACAGATCGTAACAAATAACGCTCCCTGAGAAATTATAATAGACGCTGTTTTTTTTTTTTTTCGTTTCCTGCTAACGTCAGTGGGAAATATAAATAGAATTATCGACGGATGTGTCTTTTTTATTTCGATTGATAATGAATTTTTGTAGTTTCGATATCAATGTTTGTCGGTTTAATTAAGTTTTGTTGTATACATTTTGGGATATCCTAATAGTAAATGTTAACTAACTAAAATATACCTACGTTAATCAATTTGAGGAAATTGACAAA